ACTATGTATTACACATGCTACTATCTTTAGAGCAAAATAAAGAGTACTAGAAACAAAGATCGTTTTCATTGGATATAACTTACTATACAACATTTGGTACATCTATTTCTAAATGTCACAATGCAATGGATTTATCATAATAAAAATGCTTTCAAGTCATTGAATTGTTCACAGTTCTTCTTGCTGGATGTAGTGCCATGCAGTCATAGATGTAAGGGAATGCAACAAATCTTCATTACTTTCCCTCTTTTGCAAATGCCAAGGAAACCAATTCTGAGCATCTACATGATGAATTATTTTTACACTCAATATCACAATTTTGTGAGTTCCGAAAGTAGCATTCATGATTCTGTTTATGCATGATTACACATCTAAAACAGATAGGTCCATATTCTACTGAATTTTAAACCCAATAATAGTTGTGTTTAAAAAAGGAAATTAGTCGAGTCTAAGCTTTCCTTTGTTAAATGTGACCTTTGACCCAGGAATGGGTTAAAGTGAATTGTTAAAAAATGGATGTTTTGTGTTTAAGATAGGTTGCGTGAAATGAAATACTAGTATACCAAAGGTGCTAAAGACATTAGGGATTAGAAAATATGGCTCAAGGTTATGTCTCAATCGTTATTAAACTAGGTTAATTTTATATACAACTGTTAATTGTCTATATAGGGGGGGGGGGGGGGGTGGGGTTAAGAAAATATAGACTCTTTGTTGATTTCATTGGTTTAACAGATTATCCTTCTCATTGATCAGCCAGCATCTAGCTGATGACCGGTGCAGGCTGACTTATTTGATTGATGGCCCACAAGAATGTCGGCCTACAACCCAGGCAGCATTGGTGGTCTCAAGAACCCTGAGAAAAGTGGCCTCATGACGGTCCATGGCTGCTATATATAGCCCAATGGGCCGATGGTCAACTGGGCCGCATCCGGAAAGAGCATTGCTCTCAGATAATTTACAACTGAATATTTTCATAATTTTCATATCCCTCTAACATAACAATGACATTAAAAACAAACAAATAAAATGTGTGCATTTTCAGTACAACTTGAAAGAGCACCAATTTATCAATATACTTTCGAAGTTGCCTCTAAACAGTCAAGAATATAGAATACACAGTTTAAAATCTATAGCCAAGTAGACACATTAGATAGTGTGAAAAAATATCAGTTTGGGACCAGAATTCCCTGACATGCATCTAAGAACTAGACACCATGTACAACTATAAAGTTAGTATTCACATGCAAAAGTTGAGTGTTTAATTAGAACCTAGCCTATTCATTCCCTATCCAACACAGCATATATGCTACATGTACCAGAAGCATCATGCACAAGCTAGTATGTACCAAAACTTATCAGTAACTGCAGTATATTAAAGTGGGGCCAGGACTCCAAAGTTTGGACCACATGGAAAAAATGTGACGTACAAGTAGCTAGCATTTCCTTTCTAATTGTGACCGGTGACACATGATTGGAATAAGAATGTCCGTACCCTGACTGGAAAGAGAGTTGAAATCAGTTTTCAGTCTGAAGTGGGACCAGGATTTGGAGGCCATGATTTTGGACCACTTTAACAAGAATATGACATACTAGTAATATGCAGAAAAGTTCTTCTTGCCAAAAGTTGTTAGTTGACACACACATTGAAAGGATGAGAGCAAAGGTAATGTTTCAGTTCCTAGAAACACCATGTTAATGATGACAAGTGCTGGAAAAACATACATGTCGTAGGTCGTAGGTCAAAGGTCACAGATGAGAGAGAGAGAGGAGTAGACTAATCCACACCCTGTATCAGTGTTGGAGGATATTTCAAGAGTTCTTGAAGAGGTAGAGGATTCCATAGTAGCCCATAAGGTTGTTAAATGCTTTTTCTTTCATGATCCATTCTGACTCCTCTTTCTTTCTTTCTTTATTGCATGCCACTATAAATAGAGAAACAAGATTTGATCAATGATTAGTTTTCTGAAGTGACTTAGGTTGTGACTGCCAAGGAATACCAATGCGGGCAGTACAAAAGGACCATTGGCTAAAGAGGGTGGATTGGTGGGAGTGGGGGGGGGGGAGGGGTGTGGTAGGGTTGGGGGAGAACCATTCCATTGTTGTATACACCAAATAAAGAAAAATCACATAAAACTAGCATTTTTATAGGAAAAGGGATGAAATATTTCTGTAACTTTTGCTGATGCTCGACCAAAGGTTGTATCATAGCTTGATTCATGCATATGGTCTCTATCAAATTGTTAGGCAGGAAAGAAAGAATTGTAAGATGAATGATTTATAATATCATATTGCAGTTATTGAAGAGATACATATATTGACCCAAAATAACATGCAAAATGGGGGTTGAAAGTGCATTAAAATGTGCAACTAGCTAGAGGTTTGCTTTGCTCGTTTAGTGCAAGTCTAGGTGAATGTTCCTGACAATCATGCAGTATAATAGAAAGCAATGTAGAGTCAGTATTATGTTCAAACTAAATCACAACTGCCATTCTACCAATTAGTCAGTCAATGTTAAGAAGTTATTTGAATAAGAGAAAGCTCAACTTTGCATGGGAATCTTTGCTGGTTTGTATGTATGTGAAATAGACAGCAACAGAATTATAATCATGCCTCCCCCAAAAAAAATAAATAAAAAGTCAAATGTGAAATGTTTAATATAAAAAAGGAGTTATCACATGAGTATTATGAACTAAACATAACAAAATGAACACAAAAACATTATGGAAAGTATATTATCATAGTTCACACATACATACATGCACAATGACCAAAACTTATATTACATTTACAGTGTATGTGTAACACATGTGAACTTGCATGAATTCGGGCAATTACCTAGTTTTGTTAGAATACATGATAATTTATAATTATAAAATAGGTTTTCCTGCCCATTCTAACACTTTCTTTCATTCAATTTGGTCCCAAAACTTCCTAATCTAGCACATCTCAAAGTCAATTTCCACTTTGGTCATTCATTTCCAATGTTTGTTGTCCAATCATTTTCATCTTTTTGCATCCAATTTCGTCAAATTCAAATCTAGTTTTTCATCCTCAGCTGCATGAATCAATTACGTCATTTAACACTCCATTTAGTATTAAAACGCGTCACATGTTGATTGTAAGGTCTTGTCTATTGAAAAAAAAATACTCTTGAAATTGATTGCATATGAAGACAAATTTGATTATTACATTTTGACGGAGACAAATTCACAAGAAATCGGATAAAAATGAATGGACAAGTGTTGAAATTGATTGACCATTTGAATGGCAAGTGACTGAATTAACTTTGACAATTGCCTGAGCCTGGATTCCCAGGATAAAACTGAAGTGCACAAAGATGAAATTGAAGAAAAAAAGTGATAAAATGACGGGAAATCCTATAATGGGTTCTTGTATAGCGCTCATGTTTGTAAGACTTGACACTTCATATCCCTGAGACAGTTAAATGCAAAAGAATGTGAAGTACTAAAAATAAAGGAATTTCTTTTTAGAAAATGGAGGACTGAGTTACTCAAAATTAGGATTAGAATATAACTGCTACAAAACGTTCTTGAGAAATACATTGATTACTTGTACAAAAAACACAGTACGAAAACTTGAATAACCAGTATTCCTGAACAAATACATAAATAAAATTCATTTACTGAGTGATTATTGCTCATTACAGGTGTAATCAAACCCGTGGAAAGCAGAATTTATTTAGTAATCTTCAAATCACAAAAGAGATACATGATAATATTCTTTCATTCTGTATACCAAAAGAAAAAGTATGCTACAAAACTCTGTACAAAAATATCTATAAATGAAAAATTTGCACAGTGCACACAGGGACACTCATAGTGCCTACTTTATCATTACATAGTGTAGTTCAATGTCCAAAAGTAGTTTTTTTTTTATACAAAACATGATTAAAATTTACATATGATATTGACTATTCAGTAATAAAACACTTTTTTGTTAATGTTAAATTGGGAAATTATTCACATGATTACGAGTTCATAATTTTTAGACATATGGACTGGATGGGTAAAGGAGAAATGACTTTTGTGTTTTGAGTTTTGTTGGTTTTTTCCCATAATAGTTAATCTTACAAATACTCATAACTTTTGGAATAACCCCCCCCCCCCCCCCCCCCCCCCCTTTAAAACAAAAAGTATAACGTGGGGATTCCAATACCAGTTTACGACACATATCATCTTCCCTCATTGCAAACTGGCACATTTGCAATGAAATAAACAAAAAACATCAATATATCAGCATGCATTAAAGGTAATACAAAGTTTTGTGAAATTTTGAAAATTAGGTGGATAGTGATTCTTTACAATTTTTATATATTTGGATGCCCCTGTGGATGTATTTTAAGCACTAGAAAATTTAGCCCCTGAAACACTTCTGCTTTCGAGAAAAATGAAATGTAACAATTTACCGGTGCTCCCTGTAAATGTTGATAAATTTCAAATAGCGCCTACGGCCGTTCAATAGTAGCTGCGACCATGAAAATCTCAGAAAATGTACTGGTAGTTGTTATATATAATTTCCAAACGGGAATAGCTAATCGGTTGATTTTAGTCAAGAAACATTGTTTTATAGCTTAATTAATGTATTGACCTTGAGAGGGAGCTATACAACATAAAGAGTTTATTATTAAACAATTTCAAAACTTTAGACTCGATTTCAACCGCGACAACGACCACTAAATATTGTAGGATCGCATATGCTTCCGATATGTTCATTTGAATCAAATTCATGACCGCATACCAAAACTTTGTATTACCTTTAACATTATGAACACTCTAAAATTGTAAGCTTTTGGGGATACCAAAAATGCTGATCTCAAGAAAGAAAGAGAAATAAGAGGTAATATGGTGATGAATGGACAAGGGAGGCTTTAAAGACCCTGTCTGATTTGAAAAATAAAATTGACGAATTATATGTCAACGGAAAGCTTAAAAGCCATAGATTACAATAAGATCAATAATGTGCTTTTTAGTGCCTCTCAGAGGAGTAACATTAATTATGCACAGCCCATCACCTCAGCTATATAGGCCAGCCGATCAGGTCCACATGTTATGTTATGAGGTTTTAATTAAGACAATAATTTTCCCTTTAAATTTGTACCGGTATTCTACGTGTATTCAGTTGTATTTTCATCGGATAGGATCTTTGAAGCGCAAACACTCCAAACCTTCTAATAAATTCTCTACTAGAGAAATCTGATAGTTCCAAATGAGTCAGACTGGGAGAATGGGGTAATTAAAATAACCTGATTATTTCATAAAATAAATTTAACCCAACTATTAATTACAATAGCTTTGGTAAATCAGTTGAATCATTAGTTATAATTGAATACCAACACAACTTTGCAATGAAAAAAAAGACACTGTACACCGACATGTGAGAAACAAATATGAATACATTATATGTAACTTGTCTCACAAAATATTGGAACAAAGGGAAATGAAAAGTGAACAACATTGGCCAGTTTCTCAAAACACATTGTGAGTCTCATTTCTTGTACATGTACATCTCCTAGAAACGTATGTTATAGGTATTAGTGTCATTTGTATGAAAGCAAAAAAATAAGAGAAATAGAACTTTGAAATATATCGGACCAATAATAAGAAAGTTATCAGTGTTTTGATCATGATATCATAAATCTATGAGAATCGCAAATTGATAATTTGGTCACTGGATTGTAATGTATTCATGAACAACGTTCCCATTTATTATATACAAGAATATCATGAATGTCTATTTTTTCTCCCAAGTGCCTGTGCTTGGGGCATGATTAAAAATATAGTGTGGGTAGCATATATTACTAAGATTCTCTTGAAAGAAAAAAGTGTTCCTGAGCCATACATTTTGAAAAATTTACATTTTAGTAATTTTGTGAGATGGAACAAATGGGAAAGGTGTCCAGTAATTCTTCACAGTGACACTGAAAATTCAGTGAATTCGGAGTGCCCATACTTACAGTGATTACAACTTATAAGAATGTTTAATTCTTTCATTTTTTTTCCGCTTTCGTTTAAACTTTTACCAATATGATTCTCTGATTTTTGTTGTTTTCTTTTAGAGTATTTTACTATTAACCAACTGACTACTGAATTCACATATTCTATATAGGTTTAATACAAGAGCCACCTGGTTCCAGTAGGTAATGAGTTAAGGTTGGATTTCTCTTTTAAACTAGCGCCTTCAATGGGATGTCCACAAACTTAGACTTAGGATGGATTTGAGAAACCTGCCCCATGCTATATTTAAGCTTCTGAATACAAGATATATGGCATTTACACTCAGGTAAGAATGAGGCAGAAGCAAGGGTAACATTCAATGAATCATGATTTCATCAGTGAACAAACTTAAAGTAATACACAATGTTGGTAAAGATCATCAAAGTCATCAAAGAGAAAGGGTGAAGAGCATTAGTTGAAGGCTCGGGCTTGGTAATGTGGAATAGTTTGCCATGTCCAATAAGGAATTCAACAACAGTCCAGTCCAATATTTCTCCATACTGGCGGATGCATAGACCGTGAATTTGAAGTTTCCAATATTATATTATATTATACCAATATGGCCTTTCGGCAAATAAGATATTTTTACTAAAGCTATTGGCTGGACCAACACTGATTATTACTTTCAATAAGCAAATAGCCAAATCAAAAATAAAATTAACAAAATGAACAAAAATAAAGAACAGATGATTGCAAGCCTTTATAAGCCGCATAGTTAACTCTTCCAGTGCTGACAATTCATGCTTGGGGATACTGCGTTGATAAATTTTGAAAATGATATTGTGATTGTTTTTCCTTGCTGATTGCTTTTGATGGTGTATTTTACCCAAGTCCTAACTGTATATTATGCTTGTAAGTATCCAGGGACATTCAGCTGTCCGTCCTATCTGAGCGACTTTTGCTCAACAGGACAGTCACCCAGAGAATTGCATATTTCAGAAAATAGAAACTGTGGGAGCTATTACAATGGGACAGTATAGCTCAGTATATAGCAAAGGCTTTGAGAGGCCGTGTACACAGTTCAAGAACAAAGTCATTTGACTATTACCCCTTAACTCCTAAATCCTTAGAATCAGACTTAAATACGTAGGATGGAAAGAGCTTTCCTACTAGCAGATACAGCCTTTATTAGCAATCAGTTAAAATAACCAATCAAAGAATCAATTGATGTTTCTGCATTTCAAAATGTATTTTGATGTGTGCGCGATTTAGTAGCAATGGCATATCTGCAGATATCAAATTGGTTGTATTTGTACATTAAAATCAAACAATAACAAGTATTAAGAAAAAAAGAATCCAAAATATAGCGCTCTTCTTTGATTGCAATGGTGAATTCTTTCTGATCATGACCAAACATGATGAAACCTGTATATAAAGACCGCTCAAAGGAGAAAAAAAGTGACTTTTATCAAGTGGTCTTTCAACAAAATGTTACTAAACTACAGATTTGCATGAGAAAGATTATTTGATCAAATACTTTTTTCAAAAATAGACATGTGGTCTTTATATCCAGGTGGTTGCTAAAGCAGGTTGGATTGTATTTACATCATGATGTAGCTCGTAGTTGATTGCAAAGGGTGTGAGCTCACCTGATCATGAGCAAATACAATAAAACCTCTACATAATTATAGGCCACTCAAAAGAAACACAAAATCTGACCTTTATAGACAGGTGGTCTTTCAACTGAAGTTCCCTATAATACAGATTTCTATGAGAAATACCATTTAAAGGATACAGAAATTTGATATTTGAGTTAGAGACAGGTGGTCTTTATATACAGGTGGTACATGGAGCTAAAGCAGGTTTGATTTTTTTTCTTTGAGTGCATCAATTGCAAAGGTTTGAAACTCTGAACATGAACAAATATAAAGACAACAAACTCCCTCCACAATCACCTCCTAAAGAAGGCATACTTTCTGGGCAGTCGACCTTCCTTGTGGAGCAGTCCAGCCTGGATGTCTGCATAGTCTGGTAGTTTAGTGAGGTCACCTAACGCAGCTACGGAGGGCTGGGACTGTAGCATCCTTCTCGCCACTCGCTTGATGTCTGCAGCTGTCACTTTCTCTGTAATTTTGAGAGAATATATATCAGTTAAACCTGAATACAGAGACCTGTACACATATATATATATATATATATATATGTATAAAAAGAAAGGAAAAAAACATGTTAAGATGTTCAGTAAAACCTGTATCTCAAGACCACTCAAGGGAAACAAAACAAGTGTTCTCTTTGTACAGAATGCTAAAGCAGTAAAATACTAGGGCAGAGCTGCCAACCTTGTGCGACCTAAAAAAGGAGTTTCAAGCAAGAAAAAGGTATTCATTATAACGAAACTTACAACCACGCGCGACACACTTCCAATGCAGAAATGTCCATTCCTCATGCTGTTTTTTCCATATTAGGACCTATAATTTATTTACAAGTAGGTATTTTGTTGTTGTTATTGTGGTATTATCAGCGTTTCATTCTTTTTGAGAATATTTCCTCTTACAGTATGTTTTCAAGTATGTTTTAACCCTATGTTAACTGGGGGGGGGGGGGGGTCAATTTGACCCCCCCCTGTAGAAATTTCGCGACTACTCCGAAATCGCGGCAGATATAAAGTTTTCCTTTCGTGACTTTTTACTTTCGAGTCTTACGCATCTTTTAAAACAATTTTTTTGAAAATCGGACCTACGGTTACAAGGTCACGTGACCTTTTGTCTTTGCATGTCAGCCCGAAAATCGCTCATTTTCGTGATTTGTGTACAAAACATATGTAAAAGTCATTTTTCCTAAGAATAGATAAAACATTGGTTATTCAGTCTTGTTTAAAGTTTAGATGTTTGTTTTGGGGTCAAAATAGTTGAATTGTAGTTATAAATGAAATAAAACAACAAAAAAAATAAAATACATAAGTTAAAAAAACAATGAAATACATAAGAAATTATAAAAACAAGAGATAACATAAGGAATAACCTGGCTCTTCCAATTTTTTGTGTTGTATTATTATTCCAAATGGTCTAATAAATGTATGTAGTGAAAAAGAATACGTAAAAATGAATAATCTATGAATTATGGGCAGAAATGTGAATTTGATGACCTTATTTGCATAAATTACCATAAATATGCAAATGAGTGAATTTTTCAAAAATTTGAAATTACCATAGTATTCTATACACTTCACTTGACATGCATGCAAATTTTCGCGGCGATCGGCGTGAAACGGCCGAGATCTTAGGGGGGGGGGGGGGGGGTCAAATTGATCCCCCCCCAGTAAAAACCTGGATTGAAATAGCCCAGTTAAAATAGGGTTAACCTTAGTTTTCTATTGAATTTGTGATCAAATCAACATTTTAGGGCAGTTGTTTGACGTTGCGGTATGTTTACAATAAGTAATCATAAGAATGTTAATCTACATCTGCACAGTTCAACTTTAGTTGATGTATTTAATAATGATTGAGCACCCCATTTGGCATTTCATATACAAGTCGTTCGTAACTTTATGAACAGCTGTATGAAACATCCCCCCCCCCCCCCCCCCCCCCCCCCCCCCCCCCCCCCCACCCCCCCCCCCCCCCCCCCCCCCGGTCAACAAAATAGATTAGATATCCGTTACACCCAAAAAAATCTTTCTGGATAACAATTTTATTTAAAAAATGTGCTTTTCTTTTTGAAGAGAGATAATTATATTTTGAGTATATTTTGAGTATTACTCTGTGTCTCACCAATAAGCTCCACATATTCCCTGGGATGTTTTCTGTTTCCTGTGGCAAGCACCTGTCTTCCGATGTCTTCAAAGACGACTGGTCTAGATTCTAGATTCATCATGAGCATGGATTGGAGCTGTCGCTTGGCTCTGCTCAGCTCCACCTGAAAAGGAATCAGAATGAGATTTGATTTTGTTTTGTTTTGTTAATCAACCCAAAGCTGGTTGAGAGAGTTAGTTGCGTCATCCACATGTTCAATAGTAAAGTAATAAGATGATTCATGAAGGTAATGGGAGGGGGGGGGGGGGGGGAAGGGGCGATACAGTTAATCTATTATTTTGATACAAAGTATACTATAACATTTAAAGTGATTAATATTATTCATACATGAATATTTAAATTGAATATACAGTTATTAATGAGACCATGTGATCATATAGTTAAAATTTAAAAGTATGATTTATTGTTTTTAAATTTAGTGTTGATTCTATAAAGGTTAAGCTTAAATTATTAATATGACCTACTCGGTGATTAATGAGCAATGTGTAATTTAACATTTGTTCAATTGACCTATGCTTTATGTACTGTATATACCTTGTAACCATGTGAAAAAAGAATTTCCATTTAATGTGGACAAAAAAAAATCAAATAAAATAATTTCTCCATATGTATTGTACACAACGCAGAATCGTCGATTCACCAATATGTGAAAAAGTGACTATTATATGACGAATATGTTAAGTCACAATGAGATGGACAATGAACTAAAACCTCTTGTTCATTATCCTAATGTAGTCACTAATGCACTCGCAATCATGTATTATTTATTAGTCAATTAGCAATAATTAAAAATCATTTTGAGATATAGATGGGCTCACCTCTTCTACAGTTCCTGCCATGTACACAAATTCTCTGACAATGACCTCTAGAAGTTCTCGAACCTAGAAAAAAGGTAAAAAAAGGAACATCAGAAACTAAACTAGGCAAAGAAAAATTGTGTCATTACTAGTTTTCATATCAATCACAAAATAAGTATTTGTGGATTGGCAAAGAGCACTTTTAATATGATCAAATATATTTCTACTTGCACAGCTACACCATCAATAAATGAAATAGTATTTATCATTTCTGTGACATCAGAGTAGAATTATTTGTATTCTTTTGCCAAATTCATGCATGATTGCATTTGCTTAAAGAAATCTCTTCTTTATGTCAACAAACAAGTCACTGTCTCAAAGAAATGCTGTTCAGATGCTGCTTTTGCAGACAGCTATATTCGGCGGCTCACCTGCCAATATTAAACAGAAAAATAAAAGGAAAAAATTAAGAATGCGGTGTAATTTGTATGCTTTTACACATAAGTTTTCTGGAAAAAAAAAGGAATGTAGGATTACTAACACAAATATAAAGGCCTGAAAATAGGAATATTTTCATAGAAGAGGAATGATTTGGAGTTATGCTACAGAACTCCTTTGGTTGTCCATAACTTTCAAGAACTTGATAGTGTACTTGAAAGGTCCAATAAAGTGAGGCTGATATTACATTGTTACATTGCTTACCATACTGGGATGACAGCTAGCCTGTATGCAGAAGATGCCACTATCCTCATAGCTGTAATGAACAGCGGCTGCCGAGTACATCCAATGGTACCTGTTGAGAACGTTGAGGTAGAGACGGGTGTACATCCCTTTGCCAGGACCCCCTGCGGAGAAGGAGCCTCCTCCACCCATCAGCATGTTGAGGACTGCGAAGGAGATGAAGTCAGAGTCCTGGTGCCCACAGCTCTCCAGGGCCAGGATCACATGGGCAAGTTCAGGGATGGGCGTGCCAGGGGCAATGTTGGACATGTCCTTGTTGATCTGCAGAGGAAATGCAAGTATGATATAACTTATTAAAGGGGCTGTAGCATGACGAGACTATACATGTATGTCTTTCCCGTGGCCTGACTCGGGGCCTATCGGGTATAATACGACTACGTACGATGCTAACGCAGTAGGCCTACATTTTCATGTGCGTGCAACTACCCTAAACTGAAGCAAGTTTCACACATGCTAGCGAGCGCTGACCCAGTTCATCAAGTCCATTCGTTTACGTGCAGTTGTCCAAAAATGGACGTAGATGGCGTCAACCAGTATTTCCCATGCTACAGCCCCATTAAGGTACTATGTCCCATTTGCAGCCAACATCAAATTCTGTAGAACTTTGCAGAAATTATGAATATGTCACTTATGTCCTATCTGTGAAATGTAAATGTTAGCAGTGTCCTAACATTCAAATTATGCAAGAAAACCCGTTTACCTTCTAGACTTCACTGTCAGACACTATTGAGTAACTGACTGACTTCTTTACTTTCTTTGGTAATAAATTAAACATACTTAAAATGAGCTGTAAAGGGTACATGTGCAATATATTGGTGTAATATTCCCACTTACCTTCTGTAATCCTCCAAAGTATTGGGATATTGATTTATCAACCCTTCCACCCATCTCCTGAATTTCAGGGGTGCTCCATGTCGGTTTCGTATTGACAAAATATCGTTTTGCGAGGTCGACGAGGGCTTCGTGGTCCATGCCGACCCCGGCCAGGACCATCCTCTCAGGGACCAGATAGTTGTTCATATATTGTAGGAGGGTGGGGCGTCCAATAAGGGGAATGTTCTCCGTCGGGCATACCCTAGGCAGGCCCAATGTGTTGTTTTTATAGGCAGCCTGTGTTGAATGAAGACAAAAATGGAAGGGGAGGAGTTGAGGATTAGGTCTGGATGCCCCTATTTTGTACAATCACACTAAAGATTGTGGAAAAGTCACCACAGAGGTCAACTGTCTATCATGGCTACCAATAATGTTATTATACATGTAGGTTTTCCTATCCATTTTTAACACCTCCTTTCATTCAACATCAAACTTTTTGTCATTCAAATTCTGCCCGAAACTTTATGATCTTGCACATTTTCGAAATTTGTCCATTAAATGTTAACATTTTGCATCAAATTTTGTGAAAGTCAAATTCAGTTTGTCATCCACAGCTGCCAACATACCATTGCTTTTATCAATTTTGTAATTTTGCAATCAGTTTCGTCAATGCGCCATTAAATTTGTCTCAAGTTCAATTGCTATTATGGATACATGTTATGCTTTGTCCTTCCATTTCTACATGAATGTTGCTTTGTATATATGGATGCATATTTATTTTAGCGGTATAGCTGCGTAGGTCTATGAGTTATCTTTATCACTCTCAGAAAAATTCGAGTGAATTCTTTATCTCCCTGTCTTTTATTCTTCTTTTTGAATATTCATTGATTGTTTCTGCTCATATTAATTCCTAGTCTTGCCTTCAAAACAATTAATGACATGTAGTGTGGACACCAAGCCACCACTTCAGGGGATTCACACAAATAAAATAAAGGTGTATATCGCTTTTATGAGAGGGAAAACTATATAAGGCTTACGGAAACAGGTATACCTGATATATCGAAAAACATATCAGGGGGGTGTTTCACAAAGGTCCTAAGTTGAACTTATCTTTAAGTTGGACTTAACAATTATAGAAAGCCGTTAGCATCTTTGAAAATATTTTGTAAAAGTTATTTTAAAAGACATTAAATATTGATTCAATTCATTCATATTGTCTATTATCAGGGAGATTTCATGTTGGGTGGAATTTATGGAAAGTCTAAAATACTTGAATTTTTGCTTTTTAATATATTTTATTTTAAGGCTACAATTGGCTCTCCATAATGTTGAAGTCCAACTTAGAGTTAAGTTCAACTTAGGATTTTTGTGAAACACCTCCCTGGACTCTCATTCTGCTTCATAAAACTTGTTATCAATAACAAATGCTGAAATGTCATGACAAATTAGCTCTTAGCCAATCAGATGCCACGATTTCAGATGCTTATAACTTGTAAGTTGTTATTGACAACAAGTTTTATGAAACAGGGTCCAAGTTGTTTGTTCTGCTTACTGCATGTATAAGCTCTGTCATCATTATCTCTGGATCAGGAGCCATGTCCAGGGCTTCTAATTCAAATAATATTGCCTGCCTGCTATCTTCAATCTACATCGGGTGAGACAAATTGTTCAATTCAAATTAATTCAAAAATGGTTTATTAAACAACATGATTTGCAGCAAAAAGTTGAATTGCACATGAACAGGATAACATTTAACATCAACATTCAAATTGTATGGCAATATAAAAAAATTGATAAAAAATGTCGTCAAATTACAATCATCAATGTAATTATAAATATAAAATACATTGTTAAAGAGAAGGTTGAGTTCTGGGAAGAGGTAAAAAAATAATTTGTGAGCGTTATCATTGTTATTATGCAAGGGTGGAAGAACATCAGATTAAACATGTTCCCTGAAAAGCATGGCTCTTCAAATGCCTTCATATTCTAAATATGACATGAAACATCGTAAAAATCGGGGGGTAGGTTTTTTTCGCCATGTGCTCGTGTAGTCCCATATACATCATTCTGTGTTCAGTGCTTGTAACTTTGCCAAGATTTGGCCAAATTTCTTATCATTTTGATGATTCCAGAACCTTGCAATACACACAAATATTTATATACTAGATGATCAACCTTTTCTGATAGATTCCACACCGTTTCTTTCACAATGCAATCACATGACCAGAACTCAACTTTATCTTTAAGAATCTGAAAAAGTTATATACAAATATCAATAAAATTGAAAACTTATAAAAATTAAAATTGATTAATAAGACCAATTATTCCATGAAATTAAATTGTGAGACTGGTACCTGCGATTCAGAGCCAAAAAACATGAAATTGACGCAGGGGGGGGGGGGGGGGGGGGTAAGAAATGGGCAAAGGCAAGTCTTCAGTCAGTGAGCAACCAAAGCGCCCTTCTAGAACCACTTCTGCTTCTAACCAGTATATATGTTTAATGTTGTGACACAAATTTTTCTAAAGAGGTTGTATTACAGTTCTACACATACATTAGTTGTAGTTCAGTATTTAAGAGGATAAGCCATGAAAAACATTTAAATACAAGTAATATTATCTTCACTTACTTCTGTGTCTGAGAGCTTTGGTTTAAAAACAACCTCTGAAAGCAAGTGAATCACATCTTCTAAACCACCTCTATTTGCAGATACCCCATATACCAGTGTGTCCCTGAGAAAATAGCAAAGAAAATCACAACATTTGATAATACAAGTGTGTATGTACTTAACATAGCAACTCTGTTGCACTTCAAAAACAATACATTTAAAACTGATAGTGAATGTACCTTAGACTGTACGTGGCTGGATGGTAGAGTTGCTCTACCATTAAGCAGTATGATTTCAGACAATGGAAATAAAACCATAGTACGCACTTGAAAAGCCAGCTTCTTCAGTATCAACCCTTACTGTACTGGGCTATTTTGAGCACGATCTCGACCGTCGAAAGTCCGACGAACACGAAAATTTGCATGTTTGTAGATATTTACGTAAGGAGCAAGATTGTATAATTAGTTTTTTCCTAATATGCAAATTTTTGTTTTTTGTCGTTAGCAAAATGCTAATTTTATGCATTTTACAGAAAACTACATATTTGTCTGTAGATTTGTGAAGAATCTTGAAATTGTATTGAATAGATCTTTCCTTCATCTCAAATTCATGAGGTTACATCATTTTTATGATATTTGAAAATGCATAGGTTAATTTGCATAAGTTATGAATACGCATTCATGAATATCAAATCTGGAAATATAGAGGGAACTAGAATCATTACAAAAATTGTCAGACTCCACTTTTTGAATGTTAATTGAAACTCATTATTCATCTGAAACTTCTTATTTAACACAAAATAGTTATTTTGATGTAATTAATAATGATAATTTATGCAAATTTGATGCGATTTCAAATATTTATTTTCTTTTGTTTTTTTATTTCTTATTTTATCTATTGTTTTATTTATAATGTATTCTTTTGTTCTGGAATACATCAAGTTACTTTGAAAAACATATAAATGCAATTTGATAGGAAGAAATACATCTAAACCTGTATTCACATTTCTGCTTAAGTACATGAATATATGCAATTAGAGCATATTTTTTATGACATGCGCATACTAATTGTTACATGTATGTAACACCTTACAGGTATATCCGATTTCAACGAAAATGGTATCAAAATGTGCGTAAGACTTGAGGGGAAAAAGTCATGAAACAAAAATTCAAAATTCCAAGCAGGTTGTGGCGCAGTACAATAAGGGTTAAGGGTTAAGTCAATTTTTTCTTCCTGGATGATCTAAATGCATGTCCAACAGGATTACACAAAATGTTGCTCTGACTTATGCTTTAGTGACAATTCCTCAGGGCTTTATGCATTCAAAGATACATGATTGGGTTGGGGTTGAAATCTTGAGTTTTAGATTCCGCTTAGTGATAGGTTGGGTATAGCGTTTGGTCCAGCTTTGAAGTTAAGAATTAGGTTACGGTTGGATATTGAAGGTAGAGCAATTGTCAAAGCATGTGTTGTACAACCTAGAAATTAGAATTGAAATTAAAGACGAGCATTGCAATTTTGTCATGATGACAAGCTAGTGTCAGTCCTAAGGAAAATCAATTTTCTTCTTTTTGAAAGAGTTTCATACTTTACCTTGATGCTTGGCAATCACATATTCCGCCATGTTCTTCTAACGATTGAAGGATTTCATCTCTACTTTCAAACTTCTCTGTTTCCTGTACAAGGAAAACAGAAGACAGTTTTTATTTCATAGTGGTTGTCAAGGAAGTCGAGGAAGACCATTGCATTACATATTATATTAACAAGGTGAAGTACATTTTTTTTTTTTTAATAATTAAAAAAAAAATAAATTAAAATATACCCATTTTCTGACCTACAAGCCAGATCTGGGCATTGTCTTATAAACAGTTGCGATTGATCGCAACGTATTTTGATATCAATTGCATCTATACGAGATAGAAGACTTGCGATTGATTTGGATCAACAACTCTTTATAAGACAGCGTCAAAAGAAAAAAACAAAGAACAACTGTTTGGTTCTGTTTTGGTACAATATCAAAGGGAAACATAATAAATACTCTCACTGTTAAAAAAAGTAAAATTCTTATTGTCTTTAAAGTGTAACTTTTGTTGTTGTTGCTAACTCTTTGGTAGACCAACCTGTTTCCTATGATATGCTACCATGTATAACGTGAAAAACATTAGCATGGATTGCATCAAAAAAGGAATGATTCAACAAATTCATGATAAATATCAGAAAGGGGAATAGTCATAAGTTTCATATCTCTATGAAAGTGCAAGCGGGTAAAAAGTTTGAAGTTTATGCTTCAAATATTTCTAGAGAAATCTAGTGAGATGGCTGGCTGGACAGCATGAACATGTTGCAATAGTCATACCATTTAAAAAGCAGGGATGTCAGACTTACCCCAAAAGCTGTCTTCTCCATAAAATGTGCAATGCCTTTTGGATAACCTATTTCATGTCTTGATCCAGAATTCACCAAGACTGTAAAACACAAACAAACCAGATGTCATTTTGTAATAAAATGCTGAAAGAAATTCTGGAATCACATAATGAAGAACTTAAAGGTAATACAAAGTTTTGGGAAATTTTGAAAATTGGGTGGATAGTGATGATGATGATGATGATGAACAACATTTGTATAGCGCCATTTATCTGCAAAAGCATTCAAAGGCGCCTGGCTCCCTCAATATGATTCTTTACAATTTTGATATATTTGGATGCCCCTGTGGATGTATTATAAGCACTAGAAAATTTAGCGCCTAAAACACTTCTGCTTTCGAGAAAAATTGAAAATAATTTTTTTTATAAATTTCAAATAACGCCTACGGCCGCACAGTGGTAGCTGCGACCATGAAAATCTCAGAATATATAGTTGTGATATATAATTTCCGAACGGGAATAGCTAATCGGTCGATTTTAGTCAAGAAACATTGTTTTATGGCTTAATTAATATCTTGACCTTGAGAGGGAGCTATACAACATAAACAGTGTATTATTTACAATTTCATAACTTTAGACTTGATTTCAACAGAGACAACGATCACTGAATATTGTAGGATCGCATATGCTTCCAATATGTTCATTTGAACCAAACTCATGACCCCATACCAAACTTTGTATTACCTTTAAAATAAACTACTATGCCAGTCCTTGTGCTACTTTCTATTATCGGCACATTAGGATGCCCTCTAGGTTTTGGTTGGAGGTAGAGGATCTTGCCCATTTTTAGTTTGAACAACATTATCACTCTAAAACACTGAAACATGGTGGGCAGTAATTCTGATTCTTCTTCCAACAACAAAAATCTCCTGTGTGTGTGAACTTGTGAAGCTTCCTATTAAATATTCATAGGTCCCTATTTTTGTTTCATCTTAATAGACACAATTTTGTGAAGATACAAAAACAATACCTAATACTAGTATTCAAATAGGAAGCACTAATCTGATTTGTGTATGGATAGAGTGTCCAAACAAAAAATACAATCATAAAGGAAACATTTGTACAAGCAGGATTCATACTTTTCTAAACTGAACTTCAATACATTGTTAGAGATACTGCAAAGAACTTGCAAATCAACAGTTTAGAGCAACAACGGCAATAACTCATATACTTTAACACTGAGTTAAAGCCCATCTGGCTTTGAACAGATGAATTGATTTTTATGTAAACTTTTATTTCGTCTATCCTCAACCCATTTTTCAAAACTTTTATATCTTACCTCCAACTGTACAGAACTGGCCGAACTTGTTCATGGATGCAACTCTCAGCCCATTGTCTAACGTTGTTATGTCAGTGTGCACAACGTCATGTGAAACAGCAGCGTATATGGGTTGTGGAATCCCTGGAAGGGGCTGGGTCAGTGGGACACCCTCTACAGGGGACGCACTGCCAGCACTGCAGTACTGCCTCTGACATAGTAGTGATGATTTTCTGGGTCTAGATAAAGAACAAAAGCTCATAAACTTAATCTATGTAATGATTCCAATGAATGATGTTTGGATAATAACACAATTCTCTCTTAAAAATTGGGTTGCACTTAATATCATCATAGCCCATCAAAAAGTTAAAGAGTACCAGATTATTCAAAACAGATACCAAGATTTTCAGGAAAAGACAGAATGTGGAAACATTTTTAAAAACTGGATTGGCAATATCAAGGGCTAAATTCATGCAATGGCCACATACTTATTTGCAGTGGTGCCTTTCTTGCTGCATCAGCACCCCTCCAGGCTCCAGAGATTCTGAATGTTCAGTCCACTTTACAAAGTTTTTAGCCACCATTAGCATTTGACCATCATATCGTCTATCCCAGTTTATGTAACCCATTGAACAACCAATGTGGTGTGCTCTTCAAAATTATGATCAATCATAGTGCCTCAGGGACAATGCAGCATTTAACAGCTCTCCCCTCCTCCTCCTCTTCTTCTCTTTGGGTTCTGAGCTTCTCCATATTCTTCTTGATCTTCCTCCTTTTCTTATCCTTCTTCTACTTCTGCTTATTCTTCCTCCTCCACTCTTTTCCTTTTCTCCTCCTCCTCCTCATTCTTCTTCCCTCCTTATCTTGATGAGTTGTGTTTCCCTATGTGTATACTACACATTGTATGTGTATTGATCATGTTGATATCTGACAGCGTGTGCTAGCCTTAAGGGCTCCCTCGAAATGTTTTTTATGATATTGATCGAGGGAGCCTTAAACGGCACCCATAGGGTCCCATGGAGAGGTAGGTAAACAACATCTCAAATGTGTCCAAAATCCCGCTTTCCCGCACCCGCCCAATACTGGACAGTGGCTTTGATGAATTTTATGTTAGGTGTAATCGTAATGATATCCTGAATTTACAAATCGGAGGTAAAAACAAGGAAATAATAGCAATTTTCTTACCAGACCGATGCAGCTCAGCTCCGTTTTCACGTGTACCGTGTGAATTCACGATCTCTACACAATGGTGATGACCTCTGACTGGCACTTCGTAAATGTGCTGCTTCCGTATGATGCGCTGAATAACACTCATACAGCGAATTATACGGAAGCAGCACAATCACGGAAGTGCCAGTCAGAGGTCATCACCATTGTGTAGAGATCGTGAATTCACACGGTACACGTGAAAACGGAGCTGAGCTGCATCGGTCTGGTAAGAAAATTGCTATTCTTTCCTTATTTTTACCTCCGATTTGTAAATTCAGGATATCATTACGATTACACCCAACATAAAATTCATCAAAGCCACTGTCAAGTATTGGGCGGGTGCGGGAAAGTGGGATTTTGGACACATTTGAGATGTTGTTTACCTACCTCTCCATGGGACCCTATGGGTGCCGTTTAAGGCTCCCTCGATCAATATCATAAAAAACATTTCGAGGGAGCCCTTAAGGCTAGCGTGTGCTGTATCAGTAAGTTGAAAAAATTGTATTTTACTGCTATCTAGGTGTCATGAATTGTCACTAAAGTACCGATTTTGAGTGAAATCACTTGAGTTTTGTACAGTAGTGTTTGAAATGTTGAGAATAAATAGCACAGCTTTTAATACACAGCCAGGATAGTAATGCCGCTATGTGTGCGCAAGTTCTTCATGCCATGTCGCTGCAGTCAAAATTCAAAATCATGAAAATGTTGATTCAAGCTATCTCCACATCAAATGAAACAAAACGCAGAGTAAAAAATTCATTCAGTGTTACTGAGGCAGCTCTGATAAACAAACAGAAGGAGAAAAAAAGCAAACATAGGGCAAAAGAGAAGGGAATGATCATTCAACGAAAAGGAAAAACACCCACAGCTCGATCTAGGCCCTAGGCCTACACAGAAATGAAGATGTGGGGCCATACAAAGGCAAAATCTATTCACACAGCACGCAAGGAAAACAAAATTGCCTCATTTACCGGAGCTCTAACAACTGATTCTAGAGTAATTTTATATCATCTGTTGTACTAAATGGCAATTAGTATATCATATAAATGAATGAAACGCATACCTATTCCAAAATGAGCATGAATGTTGATATTTCGTAAACTTTTGGGCAATCCGGCGAGAAACCCGTGAAGCCATGATGCAATGCGATGCTTTTTGAGCTCTTCAAACAAGGCTATTTCTAAAACAAATTGGGCTTTACGAAGACGAAGGCAGTCAGTATATTCAAAATATTCATAGAGATATATACTTAATAACACTAGAGGGCGTACTCGCTCAAATTGCTGTGTGGACCTGGAGCTGTGGCCGCCATTACTAAGGAGGGCAGAAAAACGAACGACCCAACAAGATACTGTGCACAACATACGTGGAAAAAATTGGAGAAGCCAGGTTCGTGCGTTGCATTTGGATGTTCGAACCGAAGAAAGAAAGGGAACTGCATAATATTTCACAAGTAAGTTCTTCTTAATGTTATGTTGACTAATAAGGAGATTTTAGAGCTAAAAATGTAGTTTATGCAGTGACTGTAGTCTGTACCCGGGTTGTCTCATGACAAGCCACCGCAGCTCCTGCAGTAGACCGAATTTTCCGTCTCTTTCGTTCGTTAGCCTCTTATTGGGGTAGGGTCGGCTCTCTCTTTAGAGACGGAAGCCGTTTATACACATGTCCTTGCTAACGCCACGGCCAGTTCTGGTCGTAGCGTTTTGCCCCCAAAATCCCCCAAAATGTCATTTTACCTCGAGCATGTTATATTGTAAATTAGGCCTAGGCTATAATAAATCAGTTCCACTTACCAACTTGACTGAAATAATCAGTTTAATAGTCCCTTTTTAGGAAATTATGGGTCAAAATCGGAATCCATGTTGAAAAAGATTTTCAAAATGGATTTCGATTTTGACCCATAATTTCCTAAAAAGGGACTATTAAACTGATTATTTAAGTCAAGTTGGTAGGTGGAACTGATTTATTATAGCCTAGGCCTAATTTACAATATAACATGCTCGAGGTAAAATGACATTTTGGGGGATTTTGGGGGCAAAACGCTACGACCAGAACTGGCCGTGGCGTTAGCAAGGACATGTGTATAAACGGCTTCCGTCTCTAAAGAGAGAGCCGACCCTACCCCAATAAGAGGCTAACGAACGAAAGAGACGGAAAATTCGGTCTACTCCTGCAGCAGCGGAGCGCGCCAGTCCACGCCCGCCGGGCTGGGGCAGGCATGGGTTAAGGTTCTGGGGATGGTGATGGGAAAATTCTGCTGCGCCGGAGTCGCTCGCAACTCCAAGAGCCAGAGAGTCCAACTCGGAAATATAACTCCATGAGCTTGATTCTATTAAAGAAAAGTCTAGAATAAAACGATACAATTAATTTTATCTTATCTAATTTCAAGATAAAAATCAAATGGCAACTACTTTAGATCTATATTTTAACTATAGACTCTCAGGGCTGTCGTTTAAAGCCGGTAACCGGTAAAACTTGCCGCCTATTCACTCGTTTCTTACCGGCTATAATTCCTATAATAAACCTTGCAAAAATCACAGAAAGTAGATCTAAATCAATGCTAATCCAAAATTTCCTTAATTTCGTCCAAGATATAATTAGTGCCGCACATACACGGCCGCAGTCGACGAAATCCCTTACGATCACGAACGCGACGTCGTCCGTACTTACCTAGACCTATCTATCTAACGTTACATCGCAGTACGTTCTCCCCCCACAGCGCGGCGGCTAAGCCCGCCCGTCCCTACCCCATTGCGATCCCGATGTGCACGCGTGAAGACGATGCACTGCACAAAATTACACACTGATCATAACAAAACTGAAGCTAGCTCGCTGTAACCAAACTATCCGTTGCCGATTTGATATTTGAAGATCACGGAAACCGGGGCCTATACACGTGCGTGCAATGTCTAGAGACAACGTACTTTAGATTCTGAGATGCGCAAATCGGCGACAGAGTTTTGAACTTGCTGAGTTTAGGCCGGTGTGGTAGGCGATTTGTTCCGGGTTCCGCGGAACAAATCGGCGCGCCGATTTGTTCCGCGGAACGAATCTACTGGATCGACTCGTTCGCAGATACGTTCGAAAGCCGCCGTTCTTATCCAACATTGGCCGAACGTTTCTGCTTATATAATCGCGTATATTTTTATTACTTGTGTCGAATAAACATGGTAAAAATAATTTTTAGCTTTATCTTGATACTTTTGTATTTATTGTTGGAATGAAAACCAATATTATTTTTTTTTGAAATATTACTTAATAATAAGGTTTATAACCTCGTACGGAATTACCCGCGCGCGGTACGAAAAATAAATAAATAAATAACCTACTGACTAGTATATGCGCATAGAGTACATGTTCCTAAATTCCTTCACATCTCCCCTTTCACATGTCCCTCTTAGGTACCTTCCCCCTTATAAAACCACCTCTCATTTGGGACCCTTTGAAATAAAATTTAAATTTCCCCCCTGCCCCCCCCCCCCCCCCCCACTAACGCAACCCTTGTTACGCTGTCCCATATTCCCCTTTTTTTTTTCTTTTCTTTTTCTTTTTTGCTGCGTTACATGCATGCAGGCTCATGGTTTCTTTTTTAAAATTTTGTATGGATGATCAGTTAATCACAAGTATTTCCTTACACCACACTGAATGGCTTCACAGTTTCTACATCGAAAGCACATGAGAATAAAGATAACCACTCCATGCAGGCCAGTTACATGGGCAATGAGAAAATTATCTGAAATTTCAGAGAATGAGGCCTTTCTGAGACTGAAGTATTCTAATTTTTTTTTAAAAGGGAAAGAAAAAAAAGTGTAACTTACAGATGGGACACCCATCACAGATTCAAAGGGCATGCTTACAAGGGAAATGCATAAAAGGTACAGGGGCCACTTTGTCAAAGTATAAGGTGCACGTAGCAACTGTGACAATTGATATTAAAATGGCACTTGGAATAAGTAAGGAAAGGGTGCGCACTACAGCGGCGGATCCAGGATTCGAAAATAGGGGCCGGGCACAGCCCAAAAATTTGAAAAACGGGGGGGGGGGGGGGGGGGGGGGGGGGGGCAGGCGATAGTTTTCTGATATTAGGCCTACATGTACGTGAAAATGTACGCGTGAAATTAGTGGTTTCCAAACAAGGGGGCGCAACAGATCTGCCACTGTATGTAGCGGAATGGGGGGGGGGGGGGTATAGACACACTATGCTATGGCTCTGTTTAACACTAACTTTTGTCGGCTAGTACCAAGGGTTGAAAATTCAACAAAATATGTCGGGTTTTTCTTTTATTTCTTTTTTTTTTATTCTGCCGGATCAACACGTCTTTTACTTGAGGAATTTTCTTTCTCTTCTTTTCTTCTTCTTTTTTTTTATTGGCCCTTCTTAATTATCAGCTCGACCACTCATTTCTTTTTGTGTTGACCCCGCCCCCCCCCACCCCACCCCGCATCTCTTTCATTTAAACTACATGTACATCGCGGCATGCAGCCCACATGCATAATTAGATTCTGTGATGAAGCCCGGTAATAGGTGGTTGACGTAACACGATATCATAATTATAAAGCAGCATTCAAACCAAATTAGAAGGCCTGATTAGAAAACACCCCGACATCTGCTTTTACAGGCAAAACTAAGCCTATGGCAACAACAGCCCTTTTTGCTAGACCACCCATGCAGTCCCCGTCGCTTCCCGACGGCGCTGTCTATAGTTACTGTTTGTGGTCAATCATCGGGCCGCAATTATCAACATATTTGAACAACGGGAATCTGCATTTCTAGTCAAGTTCTCAAATTGGCAATCGTTGGTGTAGCTAATTTGGAGAAGTTTGATTGGTTGCAAAGGCCGACCAGAATAGTTCATTTTGCTTTAGGGGTGTACCATGGCGTGTATTCAATAATACGTGAGCACGCACGCTCTCCGATGAGATTCGGAACGGATCGGCGGCTAAATATCCCGCCGATTGGTTCCACGGAATGAATCGCCTGGCCGGAACCGATCGCCTGTGACTAGCGGAACGAATCTACGAATCCGGAACAAATCGACGGGTACATATCCAGGCGATCGGTTCCGGAGGAACCGATCGCCTGCACGGAACAAATCGCCTATGACACCGGCCACGGCCGTCCCCGGCGGACCCCCGCAGCTAGCTCGCATGATATATGCAGGCTCGCGCTCCGCGAATATTCAAAACTAACTTCCGATCGCAATCGATCTCGATCTTGTCAGGAAAAAACAGTGATATAACATTATAAAATGAACAGGAACTGAAGTAAATTCTTAAATTTTTTCAATAATTTCATGTAAAAAAAAAATAATTAAATGAGAATTCATATGGGGAGCCAAATAAAAGTCACAAGTAAAAAAAAAAATCAAAATCTAGCCTCTGCTGCCCATTATTTAAATATTGTACATGTATTCAACAAATCATGATGTAGAAAGATTGAGTATGGTGCATCATCTCAGTTTAATTAAAAATTACAAAGTAATGGTACAAAGTGATAAATAATTATCAACTTAATAACTTTTCTTATGAGTTATGATTGTTCATGTAATATTGAAGGTAAAGACCAGTATTGGAAACGCCCCAATTTCAAAAAATGAAATGGAAGCTCTCATTACCAATCATGTGAAAGAATATGTTTTGACTAATACATGATGATAAAAAATTTGCCGGGAAACCGCCTACTAATTCATATATTTGGTAAATTTGTTTCTCTCATGGTCTGTGAGAGATATAGGGTAGTCCCTTATACATCTTTCTGTGTATAGTGCTTGTAACTTTACGAAGAATGGGCCAAATTTCTTATCATTTTGATGATTCCAGAACCTTGCAGATGCTAGATGCTAGATGATCAACCTTTTCTGATCGATTCCACAACGTTTCTTTCACAATGCAATCGCATGACCATAACTGGTCTTTACCTTTAAACATGAACAATATGTGTGTTTATTACAATATATGTGTAATACAAGGTAGGAAAGATAACTACAAATTTTCTTCTTAGGTATGCACCAGATTGCACGATTTCAAGTGGAAAATCCCAAAAGGTCCGTACCGTGGGAGGGGGGACACCCCCCTCCACACCCTCCCCCCCCTCGGTCGCTTCGCTCCCTCGCAGTGATGGTACCTCCTATAAAATTCAAATGACCTCCTTCAAAAATAATTAACAAGACCCCT